CAAGTTTTTGACTGGATGCACCAGGCCAGAAATCCGACAATGGCTTTTTCATGATTATAAAAGGAGGCAAACATAGATACTGGAGAAGAATTCCATGATTAATTATACATCATTCTCTAGAAAAGAAGTCCCCTGTGGAAAAAAACTGAGCATTGTAACTATCCCTTACAAATATAGAGCCTGATCTTGCAGCTGACTCACGATGGGGGTGCTTTTTCAATGGAAAGAGAGCAACAGACTTCAGGGTGGATCTTTTTAGGAGAATACATCTATCTGTGCAGAGCCCGTTTGAAGTCAGTTGAGTTCTATGTAGACACAGGGCTCTGCTTCCTTGGAGTTTATATCAGAACCAGCACTATATTATTTTTATACAGCAACAGTGACAGAATGTTATAAGTGGAGGAGAACTGATCTTTATTATGACACACTGCTCTCTGCTATACCAATCCAATTCTTGTTGGCTTTGTCTAGTTTAGTGTCATTTGTCCATGATATTATTTTGTTCTTCTCTCAAATTTGAAGCATGCTTAATTGAGTGCTCCAACCATTTTCTAATAGTTTCCTTAGTTTCTAAACTATTAGAAATTAGACATTATTTCCAAAACTTTAGGACTATGGAGGAAGAAGTGTTATTTCAGACTCCATAGGTGATGCAAAGGGGGGACACAGGGGGGCACATGCCCCCCCTGAGAACGCTGCTGCCCCCCTGACAGCAAGCGCTCTGGCTGGTAGGGGGGCACGGAGAACACTAGTGCCCCCCCTGAAATTGCCTCCGCCAGTGGCGGAAGTGCCGGCAAGTTGGGCAAACAGCCGCTGGGGAACAACCCCCACCCCAACCCTGGTAGCCGGCTGGCCACTAGGCCCCCTCCCTACACACACACAGTTGTACCCCTCTGGTGCTCCCCCAGACTTGGGAGGCACCAGTCACCCATGTCAGTCTCTCTGCAAATTCAGATCTTATCTACACAATAAAGGGTTTGCTGGTATACCTAAAGCTATACTGGAACGCCTCACAAAGAGATGCTGCTTATAGTGGCAAAAGAGGTCTTCTGCTATTACAGCTTATATCAGTTCCCCAAACAAAACAAGCTATATCAATCAGTACATTTTTTTGCTAGTGTAACTACCTGCAGTACAGCTGTTGATGGCACGGCTATAGTAGTTAGACATGTTATTTAGTACAATTGTAACCAGCAATTACAGCAAAACTTTTAAGTGTATACCAGGACTCAGGCAGACACGTGTATGTTAGTCACATTTTCAAACTTTCTATCATAACTAAGAGTTAGATATTTTGTCTTTTTGCAAATTCAAGCTAGAACTTTAGAGAACAGTCCATACCTTCTGCTTCTCTATTTGTTCTGATGAATAACTGTAGCATTGCTATATCTGTCTAAAGTACTTATAAGGCCCCTGTCACCATTGTCTTTGCAATTCTAGTGTGTTTATCTTCACAGTACCCCTGTTAGGTATTTTATCTATGTTCTACAGATGGTGAACCAAGCCATAAAAAGATAAAGGGTTAGATCGGATAAGGATGTAGGTGTTTACATTGGGATTTAGGTATTTAAATCCAAAACTTCATTCTGAAAAACTTCCTGCTCAGCTGCCTTCTAACTCCATATATACCTTATCTTTTTACTTTAAAGTTCCCTAGATGCCTCGAGTTGCACCTCCATATATGCTCCAGCTCCTGGTTTCTTAGGTTATAGTTGTCACAACCCAAGGGTGTGATTTTGTTTGTGTGTGCTTCGGCACTGCTAAATTATTTCCCACCATTCGGAGCTTTCTTTGCAGGGTGCATTTCTTAGTTGCAAAGAGAAATGCACGGTGCAAAGGAGTTCCGTGGAGAGTTTGACGCTCCATCAGGGGAATGGAGCGTCAAACGGCCGGTTGACACGACGGGCTCGCGTGTTTAGAGCCTTCAACCGGATTGGGCTAGAGGTTCGCGTGGAAGGAACTCTTGTCCGCTTTTCTTCTTTCCTGTCTGTAACTGCAACTCAAGCAAGTTTTCCTGCCTGCACCGCAACCATCTACGGTGTAAGTAAAATAATCTTTAATCAACCGCTAAGCGTCCGTGCCTAATTCTAGTCCGCCGGCCTGCATTCCCCGACCCGCGTGCCAGGGCTGCTGGCCACAGCCCGCCGCGCGCCCCCAAGGGCCTCAGACCGCTCCTGGCCCGCACAATAGTGACACTGTCTCTTGTTTTCTCTGTATGGCTCAATGAATATTGAATCCTTTTCTGCACAGTTTTAACATAACGTGTGGATTGTGATGCCATCTCCTCTAACACACAATGGCCTATACCCTAGTTGGATACAACACTCTAATGGGAGGTAGGAGGCCTGGATTTGAATCCCTTTGAACTAATGCACGGGCCAGTTGGGCCTGGGCCCAGGTGCCTCTGCTAAACAGGGGCCCCCAGATGCCTGGAGATGGGCATGGGGAAGGGAACAGTTGACTAGTTAGCTGTACAGTAAACATTGCATGTCTACACATGTGCCCCTATTACACTGGATTTACTCCACAGCAGTATAGTATTTGTAAATACAAGTACTATCCTGCTGCAGAGTAAAAAACTCTGCAGCAGCACATGTGTACACACTGCCCCAAGCTGGGGCACACAAAGATGTTTCAGTGCAGAGGCTGCCTGCCAGCCAGCCCCATGCTGAAGCACCCTTGTGCCCCAGCCAGCCCTTCCACAGGACATTATGGCAGGGGGAGCAGCCCCGGGCTGGTAGGCTGATCCCTAGGACCTCCTGCCAGCCAGGACTGCTTCAACCCAGCTCAATTTGCTGTGCTCCCAGGCTTACATATAAATGCACCGCCAGAAGCGATAAACACCAGTGCAAGAAGTACTAGAGTTTATTCAAGCACATTAATATGCCTTTGTAGACACACCCAGTGTGCAGGCAGTTTTGGTACATTCTGATTTGGTACATTCTGATTTGGTACATTCTGATTTGACTAACTCTACCCACATATGGGATAATAACCCTTGGGATATTTTCATCAAAAAAGGGAGAAACTTTCATAAACAATTCCCATTCTTCAAACAACTGTCATAATCATTTTGCTTTTCCGCTCTACCACTGTTTTCCAACAATACACTCCATTAAAAGAAAGCCTTAACAGTATCCAAGGTCATTTTATTTTGCACAAATACATGACACACAGGGAACAAGAAGAATAACTGGTAATATTTATGCTTAGGCAAAGGGAAGCAGAACTGGTTAGATAATTCATGAAATTTTAACAAAAATGGACACAAAAATGTTCCCCAAATTGCAACATTGACTTCCACTGCATTTTCCAAACAGCTTTATAAAATAATGATGGGTTTCAAAACTGTATGCAATAATAAGAAAGCAATAGGGTGGCAGAGAAAATATAGAGAGATTTTTCTAAAAAGCCTGCAATATCTGTTAGTGGAAAAATCATGTTTTCTGACTGGAATCTGACATCACCTAAAAAAGAAAAAAACCTTTTTTTTAAATCTCTCATTAAAGGCAGGAAAAAGTATAGGTAAGGCAGTGTATTTTGTCAGAAGGCTTTTCAGGGCAACAAAGCTTCTAGATATTTGTTTCTGCTTAAATGAATGATCTAATCTGTTTCTTTGCTATGTAAACCTCTCCTCTGTCTGTTAGCATTGGTTGGGGGGGAAGGAGGTGGGAAATACAATAAACAATGTAGAAAATTGTGTATTCCAATCAGAAGTACAGGACTAATCAGATGCATACTAGAAGGTAAAAACATGTTTTACAGGGGCCCCTTTAAGGCCCCTGTGTGGATCACAAAAATGATAATGGAGTTGAAATACAAGTTATATGAGAAAGTGTTGAGAGAGCTAGGTATATTTAGCCTGGAGAAAAGAATCTGATAGTAGATGTGGTAGAGCACATGTTGTGCCTGCCACTTTAAGGGGCTTGAGCAGTAGGGAGGTGTGAAACGGGCCATATTTGATTTGGATTCAGCCTGAATCGGGGACAGTGATTCAATTCATTGATTCAGATCACTGTCCCTATTCGATTTGGCCAAATCCAAATCTGAATATCTGATGCTGATTCAGAGCATCAGCAATTCAGCCATAGACACCGCTTTAAATGTTTTTTCTACATAGTTCAGGGTATACCAGGTGCGACTCGTGAATGCTGAGGTAGTGGGGCAGATGGAGCATCGCACAGGAGCATGGGGGCACCCCCTGCATGCTCAGCAGGGAACCTGGAAGAGAACCGGAAGTACTCCTGGTCTACTTCCGGTCTGCTGCCAAGCGCATGGGGGACCCTCCCCCTTCCATGCTCTCCTGGCTCGGCAATCAACCATGGGGAGACCCCAGGTGCCCCCTCGGACCAGGGAGGCACCAGTTGCCAGTGGGGGGAGTCCCCTGCGCACTCCCTGGTGGACGCAGAAGTGGACTGGAAGTGCTTCTGGTCCACTTCCAGGTCTGCTGCCGAGCAAGCTGGGCACCCCTCCGCGCTCCCATGGGATGCTCCATCTGCCCCAGCACCTCAACATTCATGCGCTGGTACCTTGAGGTATGTAGAAAAAACATTTAAAGCTGTGTCTATGTCGGAACCATCAAATCCTTCCAAATTTCTCTGAATTGATTCAGAGGGTTCTGATTCAATTCAGATTTGGAGATTTGGCTGCTGAATCAGGCCAAATCTCCTCTGAATCGAATCAGCAACCAAAACTTCACACAGTCCTATTGAGCAGGCTGTGGAACAGCCAGCAGGTGTAGTAAGGTCCAATTAGACAGTCACATGACCACATGAGGGCCCCTGGATTGGAGAAGGGCTGGATTGGAGGAGGACTCAGTATAAGCCCATGCCCTAGGAGCTGAGCTGGTGGTTGCTGCAGGGAGCCAAAGGAACAACATCACCCAGCCAGAGATCTGCTACTCCCAGAACACCTGGAGGTCAGGGTAGGAACTATGGGGATGGAGGAGGTTTCTGGTCATGGAGAATGA